CGTATCGGTAAAAGCAAAACAAATTGCCGTAGTCTTATCCGGAGCGGACTTTCATCACTGCCTAAAAGCCTATCAAAGTCTTAAAACATGATTTATAGCCAACTACTAAGAGTCCAATGTGCAGAAAAGGATAAGGCATACTTGATTTTGGGGGGTAACTTAACGACCAGGTGGTCCTTTCACTTGTCATCTGGGAGTGGTTTGGACTGTTTGGACCTGTTCTTTTTTTTTCTGAATTGGTATAACTTACAAGTGGTAGACATGAAAACATCATGGAAACTACATGTAGTGAAACATAATGGGTAAATCGATACGATCCTAAATCGCCCCCCGCCCAAGCATTTAGGCAACGTGTAGTATCATATACATATAGCATCTTTTGGATGAAGTACACCGCTCCACACCCCAAGCAGGTCTTATCACCATCGAATCTGGAAGAAAACCGACTCCGTGGATCGAGTGATTCACCAACAGTCGAATCCACATATCTGTAGTCCCAAGCCGACTTAGCTTATTTCCGACCAGCTGCAGTGTCAATCGAGCCTAACCAAAAATTAAAAGGCCGCGGTCGTTCACACGAGATCACTCGGTAATTACGCACATTACCAATTTCTCCAACCACGCCGGGACCTCCGCATTACCGCTGAGAGGTATCCCGCTCTCGATATTAGAATTTCCCCCCAATTTCCACTCGTTTTGAACCACCGGGCACCCGATATAGGTATGCCACGGTCCATGGACTGATATTTGCCATGGTATTGTCGGGTGACAAAAGTTCTCGTGATTTTTGCATGGCAACCAGCAGAAACTGCCCAAAAGACTAATTCACAAAGTCGGTAATCGGAATTCGTACCTAGGAGGTACATTGTTCTATCAATCTTTTGTTCAATCAATCTTATGTTCTATCAATCTTATGTTCTATCAATCCTATGTTCTATCAATCTTACGCTCTCAAATCACATAACTACTTACATATCTCCTTTATATCTTTTGCAGTCGCGGAGTTATAGTGGCTTCATGACCCACCCACGTACAAAATCACGAGAAATCTTGTCACCCAGCAATACGTACATGATAGAAATGATATCCGCTATTGAAAGTACGATCCTAATCCTAAAATTGAATAGGACAACGGACATGACACTGATAGGAAAAGCAGACAAAGGAGATAAGGAAGTACCCTATGGAAGGACATGACAGGCCCGCTGCATTAAAGGAAAAGACAAGAGTTTTTTCAACCGTATTCCATCAGTACTGTATAGCGATGGACTCGGGGGGGGGGGGTTGTCTCGCTGCTTGCTTAGGCTGGGCAATGAGCTTGAAGGTTGGCGAGCTGCTTGCTTATGAAGACTCGAGGTCTTGGGGGTTTGCGTTGCACTCGCTGCTTGCTTAGGTTGGATAAAATGGCCTTGGAGGTTGACGAGCTCGAGCTGCTTGGTTATGGCGATATATTCGGGGGCGGACGAGCTATGTACTTGCTTAGCCCACGATTATGGACCCGCGCGGGGCACACGGCATATAATTCCTAATTCCTAATTCCTAATTCCTGATGCCTGATTCGGCACACACACAGTTGGACCGTGTGCTATTTGGACTGCTCTCATCGCGCTCTGCACCGTGTGCTATTGAACCGCATGGTGCTGGACCACTGATGACCGGCCATGCTCGCAGGCGGGTGAAGAGCACTGCCACGCGGCCGGAGGGAATCCAAGCATACCAGTGTGTAAGCCGAGAGATATATATATCCATATCGACGATCCTTTTTGCCACCGATCCAGGAGCGCTTTCTTTGCCCATGCCAAGTTGCTTTCTCTTCCGCCGGCATTCGCCAGCTGCTCGGCAAAATTATGGCCTATACGTAGCTAGGACTTTATCGTCGAGGTTGAAGGAACTTGATCGCTCAAGATGCTGCTCGGCGAACTCCCTGTGCCGCCACAACTGCCGGCGCGGTCCAACGGAAACCAGGAGCAATGTCATTGGTGATTTCCCCCGAACGAACCAGCTGGGAAATTAAAAGGCGGCGCGTGGTATCAGCAGGCCCGTCCCCCCCTTTTGCGCGTTACGAATATCTAGGAGCGCGCCTTCGCCCGCCCTATAGTGCAAAGGTTTTTATAGTCGTTGAAGGACTAATCGTTGAAGGACTAATCATTAAAGGACTTTATGGTCGTTGAACTAATCGGCGGGGGAGAGTGGTGGAAGAGAGGGAGGAGGAAGACTTTGTAATCGCTAAAGGGAATCATTGAAGGACTTTATAGTGATTGAATGACTTTATAATTGAAGGACGAAAGAGAGGAAGAGGACTTTATAGTCGTTAAAGGACTAATCGTTCAAGTTTATAGTCGTTGAAGGACTAACCGATGAAGGGCGAAGTGGTGGAAGAAAAGGGGGCCGGAGGAGTGCTTTGTATTGAATTCGCTAAAGGAAATCATTGAAGGACTTTATAGTCGTGGAAGGATTTCGCAATCGTTGAAGGATCTTCTAACCGCCGAAGCAGTACTTTGTGATCATCAAAGGACGAAATGGAGGAAGAAATGGAGGATCGAAGCGGACTTTAATTATAATCATTGAAGGGGGCTTTATAGTCGTTGAATTCAAAAAAAAAAAAAAAGATCGGACGAAACGGAGAAAGGAAAGCGAGTCTTTTTTTTTATAGTCAAAGTCTTGCTGATAATATCTCCAGTCGATCGATCTACAGACCCTACGAGAAATCCGCCCATCTCCGCTTTGCCAATTAAACGCCACCAATTGGAGAGAGAGCGGCGTGCCTAGTGGATACTAGTATCTCGGTATATATGCCGCGCGCGCCGACTGAAAACTTTTACAGCCACCAGCGCGCACGTACGTACGCACGCACGCACGCACGCACCCGATCACGGCCACATATAAAACATGCAGATTTTTCTTTTCGAATTTCCAAGGCCCCCGCCCGCACAGTCCAGCAGGAAGCCAGTGGTCGAGCAAACAAGACCATAGCCCCGTAATCCTCAATATCAAAAACCAGAGCAGAGAGAGTACTTGACCTACATGTGGTCAATTCACTCCAGGCATTACCATACCTCCTTGGCGCACCGCCGGATGTCTCTGACTGTTTGCCCGCCCACCCCCCCCTCCCCCCCCCCCCGCGCGCACCGGACCCGCAGCCTGCAGATCTGAATAGACGCTGCGAAACCTCTAGCTCTCTAATGGCGTAAGACCCGTACCCCCCCGCCCCCGGACCCGAGCTGCCCACCCAGTGCCCAGGGCGCGCCTAAGCAGAAACAGGTTTACCACGAACCGAGTGATAGCTCATGATCCACGAGCTCAGAGTCTGTATTCGATTGCAGTGCCCGGGGACCGGGTCGAGAGATCGGAAGGCCTCTGTACGTTAGGTGTGTAGCTAGGTGGAACGAGCGGCAACCCGCGAACAATACCTGATTGGAAAACAAGACTTGTAAAAGCCATCGGTACAGCATGACGTGGACAGGCCGGAGCGCAAGTAGCTAGCAAACCCGATCGACCTTATAGCTCTGTAGCTAATACGCGACTATGTAGCTAGATCGAGAAGAGGAAGGGTACAGAAAGCAGTTTCAGGGAGAGATTTAGATGTAGTAATAGAATCGAATTGTAGAATTTCTTCGAGTCTTGGGCCTTGGAGAGAGGAAAAGAGAAGAGGAGGAGTCCCTCCTTCCTTTCCTCCCGACTTATCCTCCTCCCGATTTATCCTCCTCACCTAACGGTACAGAGTGTCGTCGTCCCATCCCCCAGGCCAAGATGCGTTTCTCCCACCCAGCTCCACCACTGTGCCCCCACACGACAGGCACAAGCACTCAGCGAACAAACCCACTAGCTCACACACACACACACACACACACCCAAGCTGCAGCTGCAAACACGACCAAGGAGATCCGGAGTGAGCTCTCATGGACGACACACAGCGCCGCGGTCTATTCGACCAAGCACGGGATCCAGCTGCGCGGGCATTAATTCTCAGTCCACAACCCTAACCACACACACATGCACACCCCACACCAAAGCGAGTGACACCCCATGACGCCGCCCCTGTCCCCTGCCTCCCTCCGCCGCCAACCCTACCCAACCCTCAACTAAACCCCGTGCACCGGCCCCCCAATCTCGCTAAGCCACCGCAGGCTCCTAACGCAGTAGGTTCCACCCATGTCCATGTTCAGCTATCTATCTGCTCTGCTCTGCTCTGCTCTGCTCTGCTCTGCTCTGCTCTGCTCTGCTCTGCTCTGCTCTGCTCTACTCTACTCGAGCATAAAAGCACAAGCACAAGCACAAAAGCACAAAAGCACAGAAACAACTAAAAAGTTGCCACCGATATGCAACGCACTGCTGACCGAAAGCCAGACCTAGACTAGACTCATGCTCAAATGCCGCAGTCTACATATATACTAATTCACAAAGACACTGGCATAGCTAGATATCCGCTCCATCCGCTGCCTACCTGCCTGCCTTTCCTGCCTTTCCTGCCACCACTGTGCGGTACTCTACCCAAACTCCGGCAGGGCGCTTATGTGATACAAACCATCTCCCTCGCGGGAGAACGCTCACCGTGAAAGCGTGTGTATGGACGTGTATGGCTACTTCTACTGCAGAAAGAAAAAAAAAAGGAAAGAAAGAGAAAAAAAAAATGGATTATACACATTAAAAATACAGCTTCCCGTAGCCTGCTATTGCTACCAAGATGGCTACGATAATAGTCGTCATAAAAAAGTGAAAAATAAAAAAGAAAGAAGAAAGCGCACCGACCGGACCCTAGCTCATGATCAGATCTGTCTTAACGGTAGATAGAACCGTAATGCATGCATGCAATGCGTGAAATAAAAAGATCTAGAAAGAAAGGAAGTAAAAAAAAAAAAAGGCATCCAAGACCGAAGTGTAAAAAGAAAAGAACTTCGAAACCAAAAACTCCCGCCAAAACCATAACCATAACGCATGCAAACCGTACCCGTACCCTATCCTATACACCCCCCCTCCCCCCCCCTCCCCCCACTACACACCTACCGAATGACCCCTCCCTGCCCCGAGCTCCCCGGCTCCGACTCATAGTCCATCCAGCTCATGACATGCGTCTCCTGCCCCTGCCCCTGCTGCCGTTGCTGTTGCTGTTGCTGCTGCCGCCCCGTCTTCCTCCTCAAGCTGTTATTCAGATTGGCGACCATACCCGCGCCCGGCCACCCTCCGCCCCTCAGTCCCGGCTGCGACGCGCCACTACTGGACGGTGGTTGCGGGCCGTGGTCGTGCAGCTGCTGGCGCGAGTGCGGGCCGAGGAATCCGGACGGCTGTGAGCGCTGCCCGTCGGAGCGCTGTGAGTGCTGCGAATGCTGCGGCGCCAACGACTGCTGCCCATACGAGTGCTGCGAATGCTGCTGCCCATGCGCCGACCCCCCCGCCAGCTCCTGCGGCCGCATCCCCCCGCCATGGCCACCATACGACCCCCCCGGCGGCAGCTCCGGCACACTCCCACCATACGCGCCCGCCCCCGACCCCGGCAGCTCCGGCACGCCCGCCGTACTCGAATCGCTATAATGCGTCTCCCGCTTCGGCGACAGCACGGCACCCGTGCTCGACGTGCTCACGGCGCTCGGCGTCCACGCGCTGCTCTGGTAGAGCGGCGTCGACCCCGACGACAGCTCGGACGGCGCAGAGACGGCGTCGGACTCCAGCTCTACCGCGTGCGCGTGCGCGGGCGTGGGCGTGGGCGTGGGCATCTCGGCGGGGGGTGGGGGGGGGGTGTGTTTGTTCATGTCTGAGAGGCCCGGGGAGTGCGGGGGGTGGGCGGTGGGTTTCTTGGCGAAGAGGCCGAAGAAGCTGGTGGGAGGGGCGGAGGGGGAGGGGGAGGGACTGGCGGGGGAGTGGGTGCAGTGGAAGAGGGTGCTGAAGAAACCTATGACCGCGAACGTTAGCAGCTACACCTAAATTAAACCGCAAAGAAGACACCACCCACCCTGCTTCACCGCCCCCTCCCTGCTCCGTCTCCGCCTCCGCCTCACCACCACCACCACCGCAACAAGCACCAAAACAGCCACCACAACCGCGCCCACAACCCCGCCCACGATCGGCGCCACATTCACCCCACTGCTCGGTCCACTGCCACTGCCACCGCTCCCATCCGCCAGCCCCGTCGCCCCCCCACCCGCGCCCGTCACCGTCGCCGTCCCCGCATTCAACGTAATCGTGCTCCGCTCGCCCGCCACCGTCACCACCCCCCCGCCCCCGCCCGTCGTCACACTCGCACTCGCACTCTCACTCTCCACGCCCGCCCCCGTCGCCGTCTGCACCGTCTGCACCGTCGGATACGTCGGATACGTCGCCGCCGTACCGCTCACCGGCAGCGTCGTCGTGCGCGCGACAGGCGTGCCCACAATCCCCCCCCGACTCGTCGTCATCGTAGCAGTCGTAGCAGCAGCAGTAGCGCGCGCAGTGCTGGTGGTGGTCGTGTCCTCGGGCTGGCTTGCGGCGGGGCAGATGCCGGAGTTGCACGGGTCGGTGGAGCAGCAGCCGCGGAAGCCGGGCCCGGCGGAGCAGACGTACCATTGCGAGTTTGCTGGGCAGTCGCTTTGGCGCTTGGAGGGGCGGGGGCGGAGGGGGAGCGGGCCCATCGGTCTTGCTGCTGTACGTGCTGCTGCTGCTGTCAAGGTGGTGGTGGAGGGTGGAGTAGGTCTGGTCTGGTCTGTAGAGAAGAAGCAGCAGCGCGGGTGTGAAGAGAGGCAGAGGAGAAGGAAAAAGAAAGAAAGAAAAAGGAAAATAACGGGCAGATGCCTCCCTTTTGTGTGTGTGCTTTTGGGGGGGTGGTAGATGGTGTGAATATATGCGATGTGATCAATGTGGGTGGCAGATTAATACTCCACTCCTTCCCTCCAGGAAAGGTGCAGAGTGTAATACCGCAGTAGCCGGAGAGTGAGTCCGAGAGCACAAACCACACCGCACCTCACTGCACTCACGTATTGTACGGGGGGGTAATGACCACTACGGCCGGAATCTCGAAACTCAAGTCACTGGGTAGCTCTATGTATGAGGATCAAGCAGCTGAGAACGAAAGAAAAAGAGAGGAAACTAAACAAACAAACAAACAGCCACGACCAGCAGCCCGTCCTCCTCTTGAACAACAAAGATATTCTCCTCTGCACGCTGCACCATTGGTGCATGGTCGCCTGCCAGCCAACCAACCGTGTGTTGTGCTTCTACATGGAGCACTTTTCTTTTGCTGCACCGTGCTCTAAACTTGGGAATACGACATGACCAGGGGCAGGGCAGGGCAGGGGCGGCAGAGCGTTGGTAGCACACCCGTATGTTGTGTCACACACACTCCCGGTGGGGGAGCTTGGCACGTGGGTGTGGGGAGTGAACCCCCATTGTGCACTCGCGGATATAGGTACGATCGAAGGGAGTGTTTATTAGCGAGAGAGAGCATCTAAGGGGGGGGAAATCTCCAACACGCAGAAACAAGCAGAGGAGAAGAGAGAGAGAGAGAGAGAGAGCTAGTCTAGCTCGTAGTGTTTATATATAGTCTAGATCTCTGTGTTGCAGATATTTAATGATTTCCTGTAGTGATATGTACAAGTATGTACATCCGTCTAGATTTTACCCCGTAGCCATAGTACTTGTGTTTAATTAGGGTGCTTATCGTTTGCCCAGGTAACGGCAAAGCACATATACCCCCTATCTATCGCATATCATCCTGGTTGATACAACTACTTGTACCTCGCGAGTGATCTGTCGTGACCTAGCTACTAAGTCTTCGTATGTAGCACTACATCACTGCTCCAGCCCCTTCATGCCCACCCAATCAATAGCCCTCACCATCTCTCGCCATCTCTCTCTCTCTCTCTCTCTCTCTCTCTGGAATGTAGGTATATCTCCCCAGCATAACACAACGGTTTCCGATACGCACCTGGCCAACTCTAGAACTTTTGGCATATCCTCTACTCTAAATACCACGGAGTGCATACAGCGTGAGAGTTGCACTTTTTCTTCATCTCCATCCTCATCTCCGGCCCGCTGTGGCTTGATAATTTCATGAAAGAGCTAGCTGTTTTCTGGTCAACATGCACACCCTCTTCCATCATCATCAACGAATAGATCCACGATTGCTGGGCCCTTTGTGAATTTTTTTCTATCGAACCCTAAAATTACTATTCATGTTTGAAGTTCCCTTCTCCGCAATGAGCTGGCGACTCGAAGCGCCGCAGGAGGTTCAAGAGTTTTGCAGTTTGCTTATATATAAACCGTTACACAGCGTTTTGAGAGTTCGTTAAGAATCCCCAAAAGGGAGGACTGGAGTCTGCATGAAGCCTCCCCTGGCATGTACATGCGGTCTCACATCCCTTGAAGACATGGCGCCGGGTTTAAATTTTGCTTCAAACCCACAAACGGGGGGCCAAAGTGTGAATGTATTGACGCCCTGAGAGCATGATCTAGATCAGCACTTCTGATTTTTTTGGGCACTTCATCTCGGTAGAAATCTCCACCCAGTACCAGCCCAGTCCTGTGGGTGGCTCGCAAGATCGCCGTGCTCCTATGTGTGTTGAAACGATACCCGCACCCGCACCCGCAGGCTCGATCCAGGGTTCACACGACCGGCGCCAAACAGGACGATTTGGTAAGTGCTTTCTTTGGCTGGTGGCATCTTATGACGTGCGGTGGGAAAGATGAAGGATATGTAACGCCATGATATGAATACCGGCCCGCGGTGTGACCGGCTTCCAATGGCAGTGACTTGTGCCTATGGGCGAGATCAATTGGACTGCAGCACATTACGCATGGAGACCCCCGGACTAAGCCAGACCGACCAAAATAACAACAATTCGGCAAGTCCATCGGATGTCTGGCCTCGTGCACGAGATTCGAGAGTAGAGTACATACCCCACTCGCAACAATATGCAGATAGCCGCATTAGTACTTAATCGAAACTGTCATACGGCCTCTCACCTTCAATCAAGCAAACACTGGGCCCAGTAACATGTATTATAAAACACATAAGCGAGAGATCGAAACAATTCCAAAAGCTCAGCCACTGAAATTCAACCGTCACGGGCCAAAATGTCCAGAACCTTTTTCATCACCTTGCTTTGTACTGACCGACTTCCTTTGTTGTGATTTCTCTTTTGAGCACAATTCTATTTCGAGCTCAAGCCATGTATCAGTAGCCACACCCACAAACTCGGCAACGTCGGAAACTGACGATAGGTTTTCTGAGTAAGGGCCGTTAGAGACATGCGTGTTAGAGATTGGATCCGAGATAGGAAATTGACCTTACAGTAGAAAAAACCCAGAGGATCTCGCACGGGACAGCAAGGGATCTGGCGTGTTGAGTTGCGATGGTACATTGCTGCTACTTCTCGTAGGTGTTTGCTGATAAACTGGTAAAACGTGATTTATTGCGAAGGACGGGGTCTATTTAGCTATTTAACTAATCAATAATAAAGACAGGTATCGTCTCGTTACTTGAATGAACCACGTACCCACTCCCTCAACCGACCACGTCTCTCTCTTTCTCTCTCAACTGGCCAGGTACCTGCTTCTCCAACTGATCGACTGTCATTGTTGTCCTTTATCGACATTTGCCTTTGGATGACAGTAGTGAACTGGGTGTGAATTATGTAATGGAGAGACATGGCTTTTGGCAGGTTTTGGATCATGTATATATGTTCTGCAGTAGATCTATCGAAGTGAAGTGCAAGCGGCGACATCATCTTCACGAAGAGGGGTAATGACGGTGAATATTGTGGAGTACATGTACTCTACGTATGCAACATGAAACAAAGAAAGAGTCTAAATCCATACATAAGGCTCCTCTCCATCTGGCCTCCTCGCAGATTAAGCTAGTACTAGCTAGATCCTGCACTTTCTAGCTAATTAAACCGAGTTATCCTCAGCACCAAAATCATACTCAATTGCCACTGGAATATATACAGTATGCAACCTCTATCCTACATATGCATCCCTCTTTCCTTGCCGTAGTATTCCACGATGAATACGCATGTAGATATAAAAAGCAAAACCCAGTCACCACATCGATGCGGCTCTGCTCTAAGCTGGCGTTGAGGCTGGGGGCATATGTTGACTTTTCCGCAAACTCCAAAAATAGCATAGTTACAAAAAGCTTGGCCTTCGGCCCTTTTTTTTTTGGAACAAGCCCTCTTCTGCAGGTATCCGCGTCAAACTTGGGCATTGAGGATCGAGGGAGATTTTTCTTGCTTTTTGTGCGACAGCGCTCTGCGCGCTTAGAGTGGAGAGGATAAATGTCTAGCTCGAGTAGAAAGAGATGAGCCTAATACTGATGGTTATCACGGCTTAAAGGGTAGCGAGAGGCTGCTCTGAAGGTTTTGCTGTGCCACATGTAGGTTGCTGTGCGACATTGTCTTGTGATACTGCCACTTTGTGGTGGTTGCAATCACAACATATCACTCGTGGATCTAGTTCATGCATGTGGTTCAACAGCGAATTAATTTTCCGTGAGCGTCTCCTTGGAGATGGTCTAGGATTTGAAGTAGCTTATCAAATCATATACCGGAGAAGGTTATTTCCAACCAACCAGATCAGTAACTGGTTCTCGGGCTATAATAGCCTTTGTAGACACAAATTATCCCTGTTTATAAGAGTATACGCCCTATGATGGTACGACTTCGCGCCATTTTTGTACCCTTATATGGCGATTCGACGGTATTTATTTACATGCGGCTAGTTATATCATATATATACGCATCAATGGCCGGTATCCGGCCGTTTGTGAACAGATGAAAGATGCATCGTCTTTTTCCTGAACTACCCGATCGGCCTCAGAGCGATAGGTTGACATCAGCAGCGGTGGAGTTCACTCTGTCCTATTCACTTATCCATCTGGATTGGCCGCCAAGTATAGTACGCACACGAAAATAAATGAAGAATAGCAAAAATGGAAAATAGACGTAACAAGATCTAAACATGCATCAACAAGACCTAAACATGCATCAAGTAGATTTCTAGGAAAAATAATAACAAGTAACAAATGTGATAGACCGTAAAAAGGCCGGATAAGAAAAGTGATTAACTTTGAAAGAGAGGCAGGAGAGTGCTGATGAGTCATATATCTACCATCCGTGAGGCAGCATGACCTTGCGCATCTTTCTTCACGCATCACAGCGACATGAGTTGGTCTATGCTCTTAGCTTAGATCGTACAACACCCCGCTCAGAATGACATAATATTGAGAATCATATATATATCCGGAACACACCGCTCAGAACGACATGATATTCAGGATTATATATCCGCAAGACACCACGCCGGTATATAACAGCACCGATTCTCTCTCCCTGTGGTCCACGAGACCGCTCAAGCCGAGAATTGAAAGTGCTGCCGAGGTGCGAATTGGGGGTGGTGCCGGGGCCACTCGGTTTTGCTTAACATTGGGCTTTTCTGACAAGGCCGCTTGGTCTTAGCTCGGTCTTGGATCTGTCGTACCAAATTCCCATTTCTTCAAAGCCCTTATAATACCCTTGACAGTACGTTGCCCAGATTCAAAGACAATGATATTTGAAATCTCCTCATAACGCTCCGGAAGACTGTACAAGATCTTGTCGACTAAGTCTATCTTACTAATCCGATAATTCGTACGCCTTAGCGCTCGGTGGATTCGCTGGAGATTTGGTATGTAGGAGGTGTAGATGTTATCATAGCCTTCGAGCATGTTGAAATGTCTTCTGAGCGCAGCATGTTCTTGTGCGTTGGCTTCAAGAGTGGAGATACTTTTCAATAGAAGAAAACCAGTGGTTGACGTGTATCTGTGATGATTCGACGGATGGTCGAATATGGAGGGATCGAGGTCAGATCTGGAGGTGGTGCTGATAGTCATATGCATGGTAACTGTTGATTTGGCAGTTGGGAATGTAGCGTTGTATGTAGCCTTCCGGGCGGGCTCCCAACCTGCTGTTTTATATACCAAGCTGAGTGGTGGCAATTGATTGATTAATTGTGTGCTGAGTGGTGGCAAGATATATATTTGGATGCGTAGGTAGGTACTACGAGTAACCTCCGGTTCATAGGTATCGCGCCTTCCAACGAGTGGCACTTGTATTCTCCACGGGACAAGACGTCAAGACGTCTCATCTCAAGTCGACCCCCGCCCCGAATAGCTTGAAATCTGCCGAAATATACGG